CTAGCAGCAGTGACGACTGGGCGCTTACTGAGCGTGACTGGTTACTGCCGTGCCTGCTGGCGACGGCCTTGACTTGCACGAGCACTGCCGGACGCTACTGCGCATCACGGACAGGCGGATGGTGCATAGGCTACACGTACTGGGACAACTGAGCACTCGGGCGTGCTGTCGGGCATCACCGAGGCTTGCTGGGCATCGCTGGCACGCTGCTGGGCATGCTGGCGTGCGTAGTGACTGGCCAGTATGTGTGGTACGCTGCTGGCGTGCGTACTGGCGTTGCAGGACACGCGGCTGGGCGTGTGATGCGTTGTGGTGTACGCGACTGGGCGTGTTGACGCGCACCTTGCACGTCTACGCGCATGACTGGGGCCTGACTGTTGAGTAATGGGCAAGCATGCGTGTTACTGGGTGTGCGGACGCTGCCTGCGTACTCGCTGGACCTGTCGGGCGCGCCTGCGCGCATGCTGTGCGCGGTAGACATCACGGTCGGCATTTCGTCGGCTGTCCGGCTACTTTTTCCGACAACTCTTATATAACTAAGTATAAAATGACTTGAAATGATCAAATATACATAAATTGTTCGGGACTTGCCGGTTCTATTTTGAAATCACTCGGGAGGGCTTAAATAGCACCTCCGAGTACAATTTTACTAAAAACATGGACCGAACAATTTGATTTTGACATGACCTTGTTAACATGAACTTAATTACACGAAAAGAGGGTAAAGGAGTGTATACCCTTCAGTTTGGCTGACAAACGCACGAAGACTTGCGCGTGTGTTCGGTGCTCGATTGGGCGTGAGCATGTTTCCCTTTTGCTTCGGCAATCCTTAGCTATTATTATATAATTTTACATCTATTTTTCCTTATCGTTTTCTCTGTATTTAGTGCTCTGAAATTGCATGAGAATGCATGGGGAGAATGTCCCACATGCTCGGTTATTTATGGAGATAAAAACTGAGAGTAAAATGGGGTCAAAGGAGGTGGAAGATGACGTTATTTCCTTTGATTACAAGTGTCCAAAGCACGGCTGAAGTGTAGGGCAAATTTTGCTTAGTCATTGCCGAGGTGGCGGACATACACGGCTTAATCATCACTTGTGCGTCCGTGTCATGCCGTGTGTGCAAGCAAGGAGGTGACTCATCACCCCACTTGCACACCCAACATTTATCCTTTGAATTTCCCTCACAGTAATTCTTAGGATGGGGTTTGGCTTGATCGAGTTGCTAAGCATTGCCTAAGTGCGTGCTTAGCGGGCTAATGACGTGCGCGACAATGCGCGCTGTGCGTCGCTACGCGTACAGCTGCGTACGTTGTGCATGTATGCATGCGTGCATAGTGCACTTGAGTGCGTTCATAACTTAACCTTAGTTTCGATCATGAACTTAGTTCCGAACATTCTTAACTTTTAATAATTAATCCTGATTAATAATGTTCGTTTATAAAATAAACGGTTCGGAAGTTAATTATCGAATTTGACTCGGTTAATAATTAACCGAATAAACTTTTCGACTTAAAGTCGAACTTATTTGCTGAAAATGAACGGAATCAATAAAAGAAAATACATCACTTTATTAACAAAAAGTTGGGTTATTACAATCTACCCCCCTTAAAATATTTCCGTCCCCGGAAATATACAACTGAACATATATACATGATACGAGAAAAGTGTATACATCAAAACTGGAAATCGGGAAAACGAGCGCGGATATCTGCCTCCTGCTCCCAAGTAGCTCCGTGGCGATCCCACTGAACGCGAATAAGGGGAACATTACGCTTCCGGAGTCGTCGAACCTGTCGGTCCAAAATGGCTACCGGTCGCTCCTCATAAGACAAATCGGGATTGATCTCAACATCGGTATGCAGAATAACATGATCGGGATCGCACACGTATTTAGGCAACATGGATACATGAAAGACATTATGAATACTGGATAACTCGGGAGGTAAGGCTAACCGATACGCGACTTCGCCTACTCGCTCGAGAACTTCGAACGGGCCTATAAACCGAGGGTGTAACTTCCCTCTCTTCCCAAATCCAATAACTCCGCGAATAGGGCTAACTCTGAGAAAAGCTCGTTCTTCGACTTTGAACTGAATGTCACGTCTATGCTTGTCGGCCGATGATTTCTGCCGACTCTGCACCGTTCTAAGCCACCGTATGATAAGCTCGACTTGCTCAGCTGTCTCCTCGATCAATTTCGGACCGAGTACTCGACGTTCGCCAACATCGTCCCAATAAAGGGGCGAGCGGCATTTACGCCCATATAGTGCCTCGAAAGGAGCCATTCAAATCGATGCCTGATAACTGTTGTTAAAGGCGAACTCAACTAATGATAAAATCGACTCCCATTTAGCACCCCTGTCTAGTGTCAACAATCTGAGCATATCCTCGAGCATCTGAATAATTCTTTCTGTCTGACCATCTGTCTCCAGATGGTAAGCCGAACTGAACTGTAACTGCGTGCCCATCGCTTCGTGTAAACTCTTCCAGAATCTGCTAGTTAATCTGGAATCTCGATCTTGCAATGTGATCGGGCACTCCGTGGAGTCGAACGATCCCACGGGTATAAATCTCGGCTAACTTCTCCATTGACATGGTCATCGATACAGGTAGGAAATGTGCGACTTTCGTCAATCTGTCCACTACTACCCAAATCGCATCGTGGTGTTCGGCCGACTTGGGCAGCCCTGTAACGAAATCCATCAAAATCTCCTCCCACTTCCACTTTGGAATATCAAGTGGTCGTAGAAGGCCTAAGGGGCTCTTATGTTCGGCCTTAACTTGCAAACAGACCAAACACTTTCTTACGAAATTGGCAACATCCTTCTTCATTCCCCTCCACCAGAAAGACCCTTTCAGGTCATGATACATCTTTGTGCTACCAGGATGAGCTATATAAGGCGCGGTGTGTGCCTCTGTCAAGATCTCCTTCTGCATGGCCTCGACCTTCGGCACTACAATCCTGCCTCGGAAATCTAAGGCGCCATCTGCGCCTCGTGAAAAACCCTCGACTCCTCCGGCGTGAAGCTTGGCCTCAACAGCACGTACAAACTGATCATGAGCCTGCTCCTGCCGGATTCTGTCTCTCAACGTAGGCTGAATTTGCATCGAGCTAACACTCCCTGTAATCACTGTAGGAAGCGACTCGACGACTTGGATCTGCATCCGGGCAAAGTCTTGGATAAGATAACGCTGCTGTGTAATAGAACAAGATAATTCGCCCTTTACCTTTCGGCTCAAAGCATCAGCTACAACATTTGCTTTGTTAGAGGTATGCTGTAAAAGCTGTGTTTTACAGTTTCTATCAATTCCATTTTGATCTGGCAATCATGTTTCGGTCAAAGTACATATGTTTGCAGTTTATTTATTTATGCAATACATACTCCATGTCTTATATTGAGATAGTGTGATTCGAAGAGTTTCTAACGGAAAGATCACCTATCGGTTCCTTATAAGACTAAACTAT